CATCCATCCATCCATCCATCCATCCTTCAGCTGAATATGGGTTGAAAAAGATTTGCAAGTCATTGTATTTTGTTTTTATTTACGATTTACACAACGTGCCAACTTTTCTGGTTTTGGGGTTTGTACTGTATATCAGCTGTAGCAGCATCATATGAATTCTGGCATTTTACACAYAGTCCACCAGGAGGCGCCAACACAAAAGTCAGAGACTTCACATGAGATTTGGACCATCTTGTGGGGGAAAAGCAGATTACTTCCTACTCGTGAGCGCCCCCTCTGGTGGGGAAACTTTTTTTAGRGATACAAACTTTTTCAGAACACCGGTAGACGGCAGCCATTACAGACGAACATGTGTTTGTTGTTGTTTGAGGAGAGGCTCGGTCACACRCTAATGTCATTAGTTTGTTATAATTACTAAGATGCAGGACTGCTTTTTACCCCTTTTTTCACATCATGTCTCCTGCCTGGATCTGTTATTATCTCGCTCTGAAGCACAGAGGAGTGTCAGAGGTGAGCTCGTTTCAACTGCTTTTTACGACGCGGTCTCATTTACGGACTCAATAATTTTGCCGATATTTCAGTTAAAATGTATAAGTAAAATATTTATCTGAGTATAATACTACCCCCCAACTTTATAGACGATTTTATGGATTAAATTTTACGTATTATACTCGAATAAATACGGTAGATCAAAATTAGAAAAATATCAGTATATTAGCATTATTAATATCACAAAACAAAAAAATTAATTTAAAGGTAACATTTGAAGAACTAACTGACCCACTGTATGTGCATTTCACGTTTTTTATGACAAAAAATAATATTTAAAAACATGTCTATACAAATGGTAAAAGTATTAAAATTACAACCGCTAAAATTTTTTAATTTTTATATCGGCATATTTTTATTTAAAACATATTCTTTTCTCTCGCTTCGTCCGCCATTAGCTTAAAAAAATCAGGTCAGGCCACAATACATTTTGGGATATGCTGGGCCGGAGAGGACCCATCAGACCAGTCCTTCAAATTGGGGAAAAGGAAGGACGTATTTGTTGGCCGCATTGAAGGAGTCTTCAGTTTTGGACGTCCTTCGTCGCGGCGCTGTGACGTATGCGGCCGACGAATTCGGCCTTCGGAGGACCCGGCTTGCCGTTTTGGACACAGCCATAGTTTCCTCTATTTATATGTGCGCCCCCTAAAAAAACACACCTTGGCCATCCCTGGAAAAAAATGTCTAGCTTCACTTAGCTACTTTCAGGAAATAACTTCTAAAACATTTAGTGACAAATAATTCAAAATGGCCGCCACAGAAAATACGAAAATGTCTAACGGCTCAGCAGAAGGTCCAGGAGCCGGTTCTGACCTGGTAGAAGTCGTAATTCGCAGCGTGGATGTCAAACGGATCGTCGCGAGGAGCCTGTTTCCGCCCACAGTTACAGGAGCTGGTAGAGCGCCCCCTGCTGTTGTGGTTCATGATGGGCGGGTTGTGATCCAGGTCTGGCTTCTCTCCTGTAAAAACGACACAGAAACCTTTGTTTTAAAGCAGAGACACATAAAACGAGTGTTGCTGCGTGGTGCGTGTGCTGACCCGGCTCAGGCAGCAGGTGGAACTTGTGAACGCAGTGCTGATCCGTCAGACTCCTCTCCTCACACAGCTGGTGGCCGTTGCTCCAGAACTTGAAGCAGTCCTCGTGGAGCTGCACGGCGTAGCGCTGGAAGGCCACGCCGCGGGCGTGCTGGCTGTAGACCCGCAGGGCCTGTGCCAGCTGGTTCTTGTGCACCGTGGTGGTGTAGTTGTGCGGCAGGTTGGACTGGTAGGCGCTGTGGGCCAGCGGCAGAGCTTTCTGGCACCTGTTCTCAGAAAACTTTGTGTCGGCATCAAGAAAACCGTCCAAAACCTTCGCCTGGCTTTGCACTTTGGTGGCCAGCTCTGCCACGTCTTCGTCCGTGTTGGTGATCAGAACCTGGAAGAGTTTGGAAGCGACCTGGACCCATTTGTTGTAGGTCGGCAGCTCAAAGTGTGACGGCTGTGGGTTCCGGCCGACGCTGTCATCAAAGCCTTTTTTGGTGAGAACCAGTTCAACGTGCTGCCAGAGGAACTCCTTCAGGCTGCAGTCCACCAGCTGACTGCCCCCCAACGAGCCCATAGAGTCTCCACCGAAGCTGGGCTGCCGGGCTGACCGCCGCATCTGCTGGTACCGCCTGGGCCCCGACACAGACACCACGGGGTCCTGTTCCGACAGGATGCAGTTGGACCGCAGCTGGCCCAGCAGAGTGCCCACCGGGTCCTTGTCCGCTGCCGGGATCACGTACACAAAAGCCTGGTTGGCGGGCACGGTGAACAAACAGTTGCTGCTCTGGTTGGTCAGAACTCTGCTTTTACGGAAGATCCGGTAAATCTGGTCCTCCAGAGCGTGCTGCAGCCGCCGCCTCGGAGAGTGCTTCTTCAGTTTGTCAGGGTTTCCTCCAGAGTCGGAACCGTTTGTGGAGACCTTCAAGAAAACAAAGACTTTTAAATTCACATATGGCAGGCCATTTTAACATATAATTGGGTTCGTATCTGTAATTATATTTCTAGACATCTAAAAATTAGTTTTAACTAAAAGCAACTACAATGTGACTGTTCTGAATGATAACTTAACGTATCTGCATCACATTCGGACTAGTTACAATTTAAGATCCTCAATTATGTTTTGATGGATCAAAAATATAATTCAAGATATCTGAAATGACGTCACCAGATTCATCATTTCAAAAAAATCACACATCCATAATTACAATCCAAGATGTCTCAAATGTATTCATGACAAGGCAAAATTACATTTTTATGTATTTGAATTAAGAAATCGCATTATGCCCCACTGCTGCCCAAACAGTCCATGTGGAGCTGCAGCTAAAAATACAAGTTATTATCTGCAATTTAATTTGCACTAGTCGAATCTTAAATACCTGACAACTAAAAAGTATTTAGGATAAATTAGGATATCTTTAATTGGCATTAAGATTAGTCAGAACAAAAATGAGATGTCTGAAAAGCAAGTATACGCATATAAATGTATGTATATTAGAGGTACAACAATACAGTGGTTTGCAAAAGTATTCATACCCCTTGAACTTTTCCATATTTTGTCACATTACAACCACAAACATAAATATATTTC